AGATTGCTCTGGGCACTTGTGAAAGTCCCTTAAAGGCCAAGACTAAGCTGAGACTGTGTTGCAGCCCAGCAAGGAAGGCCAAAATAGAATGAGTTCTGTGCTCTGAGCTTGTCTGGATTCCGGGAAACACAGCAAATGGTGTTTCTAAGGTAAACACCAGGCCAAATGATGTTCCTAAGCAAAAACTCTCCCACCTCAGTCTGGTGGGCAGTATGGATTCATAGCTTCCTAGAACTGGAAGAGACCTAATTCGGATTCGTAGCTTCCTAGAACTGGAAGAGACCTAATTCATGGTTCTACCACTGCCCTCACCCCTCCCTCCCATTTATGGAGAAAAATGATACAAATAGAGGGAAGGAGAGGGGTAGGAGGCTGCCACACTTCCAGAGCCTCCAGGGAGTGAGTGACAGCACCAGTCTTGCCCAGACCCAAGCCTGGTATTGTCTTCCTTCAACCCAGGTCTGGACCCGCCTTCCCTGTCCCTGTGCATTTCCAGCAGCCCGAGTTGCTACCTGGTCTTTCCTCAGAGCCTCTTCCTTATTTCTCTGAGCATATAGAGGATGTCTGTGTGTGTGTGCACATATGTGTGTGCGTGCGTGCGTGCGTGTCTGTGTGTCTTTAGGCCCCAATTAGGATGAGGCCACAAGCAGAAAAGAGGAGGCTCCTGTCATTGCTTTTCCTACTTAGGTATTTCCCCTGGGGCAGGGGTAGGGGAGGAGCCCATGAGAGCCACAGACTGAACAGGGCCTGCTGCAGTCAACAGCTGCAAGCCTGAGAGCTATTAGGGCCATTAGGAAATAATGTAGAGGTAGCAGCTACAGAGTGGGCTGGAGAGGGCAGAACTCCTCAAGTCCAGGCAGACAAGCCCTGCAAAATGAAACCAAGGGGACTCATACAGAAGGAGGGATCTGTTCCTGCCACAAAAGTGCAGCCTCCCCAGCAACAGGAATCCCTGGAGGAGAAACCCACCCTGGGCTTCCTCAGATCCTCCAGAGAAGGGCCACACTCCCTGGAGACTGTTGTCATGGCAGCAGCTGCCCAGCGCTACCGTGTAAATGTGGGTGGAACCCACTGCCCAGGAGCAGTTTTACATAGTGGTTAAAGATACAGTCTCTCATGCCACACTGCCTATGTTTTGTTTTGTTTTGTTTTCAGAGTCTCTTATCACCCAGGCTGGAGTACAGTGGCACAATCATGGCTCACTGAAGCCTTGACTTCCCCGGCCTCTAACCTCAGCCTCCCAAGGAACTGGGACCACCTGGGACCACAGGTGTGCACCACCATGCCTGGCTAATTTTTTCATTGTTTGTAGAGACAGGGTCTCACTATGTTACCCAGGCTGGTCTTGAATTCCTGGGCTCAAGCTATTCTCCCACCTTGTCCTCCTGAAGTGTTGGGATTATAGGCGTGAGCCACTGCACCTAGCCTTAGGTTTTAAATCCCATCTCAGTTACTTACTATCATTTGTGTTTCCATGGGAACAATTTGTCACCTCCCAGAGCTCAGTTGTTACACTTTTGAAATGGGTTTCAGAAGACTTAAACCCTCACTAGTAATAATGGACCAAGCAATACACCCTCATAGGACCCTAAATCAAGAGTATCAGATCAAATCCATCAGAAGGACAGCCCACTCCAACCTCAGCCCTACACAAACAAGTAGCAGACCACATTTCATTGTAATAAATGACTGTCATTTGATGGCAGGACCACCGTTACTGTATTCCCTCTTGAGAGTCCTTTCTTTCAAGGGAACCCAAGATCAGCTACTTCTGGGCAGAGACTTAGAACCCACATGGAGATCTGGTCTTTATTCCTCCTTTCCTGCTTCTATTTCCTCACATTTACCAAGTTCTCATCAAAGTTTGATTTATACTGTTTCAGGAGCTTTCAGGGACTATTGTGTCTTCTATTAGCAGCACTAGAAAGCAAGCAATCTGAGAAGCCAAATGAGAAGCGAGAGGAAGGGAACTAGCCCAGCAGGGCATACTCCTGGCTGCCACACACAATAAGGAAAAGAAATTTTTTTCACTTGGAGTCAGAACTCTCTGCTGAGATACCTCTAGATCTTTCCTGAGTTTGCTGACTTTATCATCCTATTTAGTACTAGAGGCATGCTTTAAATTAATGATTTGCAGCTAATATACTGAATGACAGATCTGGATTCAAAGATTGAGGGAATGAATCTAACGAGACAAAATTTAATCCAGGAAAAAAACAGAAGCATCTATACTTGAGTTAAAACTAAAAAGAATTACCGAAGTAGATTAACAGCTTGAAATATGAAACAAGGGAGAGGTCTAGTTGACTTCAACTTAAACTGGATTCAATTGTGTGATATGACATTCACAAAATCTACTATAATTTTAGGATGCATCTATATACATATAGCACCTATTCTAGAATGAAGGGAGTGATACGATCACTCCATTCTGCACTAGGCAGAATATTCAGTGCTTTCAGAGACATTTACACAATCAGGAAAATGTAGAATGGTGAATGACTTTGAAAAAATATGTCACATCAGAAATGCTGAAATAACTGGGGAAGTTAAACCCCCCAAAAAAGTATTGGTGAGAACATAATTGTTTAAGGATTATGTGAGATAGTATATTGAAAATACTTAGTGCAATACCTGGCATAAAGTGCACAATTAATTTTAATATTAAAAGGATGTTAATTAGTAGTATTGTTAGCACTATGTCATACTATTATTATTACATTATTATAGTTAATGCTAATAGAGTGCCTTCTATGTGCTAGGCTCTATTCTAGGTCCTTTACATAGGTTGACTCATTGACTCAGTTACTCCTCTTATCAATTCTGTGAGGTAGGTACTATTATCATCTCCAGTGTTGTAGATGAGGAAGCTGAGTCACAGAAAGATCGAGTAGATTGCCTAGTGTGTCTCACAGAAGGGAAGGGGAAAGAACCAGAATAGAATCCTTGGCAGTTTTAAGCTATCAAGGATGAAAGGCACTTTTATTATTTTATACCTGTTCTGAACCACTCCAAAGGGCAGAGCCAGGACCAATGTGCGTAAACTACTGGGAGGCAGATTTTAACTCAACGGAAGCAAAAGTCAATTAATTAATTAATTTTAAAACTGAATAATTAGAACTTTCTGAGATTTCAATGAGATATCTTATAAGGTAGTGAGTTCTCCATCACAGGATGTAAGAAGAATAAGGATAGAAATGAAAAACTGAATGAAATGGGACTAGGAAAGAAACTATACAAATGAGAAACCAATCCTTGATTAAAAAAAAAATAAGAAGGCATAGTGAAACTTGGTTTCAAAGACACATATCACAGACAAATTGGAAAGTAAAACAGTTATAAAAAAGATGTGAAGGTAAACGAATATTTGTCTAGCTGCTATCTCAGCACGAAGTTAATTAGATGTTGGAGAAAAGCAACAAACATTTCTTAAAAAGGGAAATTTCACATGAATTTCTGTTCAGAAACTTAGTAAACAGCCTGGCTTTAAAACAAAATCCCAGGATCCTTGCAGATCAGATGGCCACCTACCCTGAAAGTGTAAAACACAGAGGGAGGGGAAGTAGTATGCCCTGTGGAGGAAAGAGTAACTGCATAAGAAAGAAGCATCCAGCCTGCTGTGAGTAGTTGAGAGGCAGGCATAAGGTTAAAGATCATAAAATAGCGTTAGATCCAAAAAATACATATTTCAACGACAACTGAATATGCTAGCATGATTGTAGTCCTGCTTCTCAGTATGTGGTCAACAGAATTATTGCATAGTTTTTTTTTTTTTTTTTTTTTTTTTTTTGAGACGGAGTTTCACTCTTGTTACCCAGGCTAGAGTGCAATGGCGCGATCTCGGCTCACCGCAACCTCCGCCTCCTGGGTTCAGGCAATTCTCCTGCCTCAGCCTCCTCAGTAGCTGGGATTACAGGCACGCACCACCATGCCCAGCTACTTTTTTGTATTTTTAGTAGAGACGGGGTTTCACCATGTTGACCAGGATGGTCTCGATCTCTTGACCTCGTGATCCACCCGCCTCGGCCTCCCAAAGTGCTGGGATTACAGGCTTGAGCCACCGCGCCCGGCCTATTGCATAGTTTAATATGGAATGCCCTCCCTGCAGCATCTAACTTTTGGGGTCCAGCAGTCCCAGAACTCAAATATTTGTTGATTTAATGAATTATTATAAAAATCCTCAACCAGAAGAACCAAGAGGTGGCTGGTTAAGGATTGAGAGTCCCAGTAAAATCTATTTCTTCTGCTATGAATAACTACTGAATGATTTATATATATGTACACACATATATAAATTTAATGTGTAATATATTCAGTGTGTATGCATGCATATATATGTGTGTGTGTATCATAGAATAATGCCAGGCTCTCCACCAAGAACTATCCCATTTCAGATAATAAATAAGTTTTCTGGACTATTTGTACTTAGATGGACAAATGCATATTTGATTTATGAAAATCAAAGTATTCATTCTTTTTAGATGTACATACTTTACAAACTTAACTCTCTCTAGAGGTCTAGAACTGAATGATTACCAATGTAGGTCTGGGGGCTCAAAAACCAAAATGTGATATCAAGAAAAAGTGAAAGATTGTCTCCCATGAAAGTCACAAGAGATGAAAACATGCTGAATGAGCCTAAATGGACATGATGGAGTTATGGATGTGGATTAAAACTGAGAATGTTAGAATATAAGGACATAATATTGATTTATGAAGGTGAACATTCAAATGTTAGTGCAGGATCTGAACTGAAGGGGAAATAAGGGGCCTTGGTGGCTGCGGAAGGGAGGAGGGTAGAAAGAGGTGGTACTAGGGAAAGCAGCACAGAGGAAGAGGCAATACTACCCGAGACTAGATGCTGACCATCTCTGGCAACCAGGAAAAGGCAAATACAAAGAGAGATGTGTGACAATGCCTGGTGTGTCTGGGGTCAGGGAACACTAGCAGGCACTAGCAGGTGGCTGCAACAGGACCGCAGGTCAAAGTGGTAACTGGGGATCTGAGTTCGGCAGTGACGCGCGTCCCTCACGTGACCAGGAGCCTATGTCTGCCCAAGTCCCTCTCGTCCTGGTCTTTTTTGCCTGTCCACCATCTCCCTATTACCCTTTGGTCGAGAGGGAAAGCAGAAGGAAGTAAGTTCCCTCCTCCCTCTTAAATCGATGTGAGTGTTGGCGCTGCCTAGTAACCCTGGGAAGGGGGTTGACAGAATCGGGATGGCGGAGTGCAGGCCTTTCCCTGTGCTCCAGCCTCGCCCCCCGCGCCCACATTTCTGTGCAAAAAATGGTGGTGGAGAGGGGGTGGGGAGGTGAGTGCCGCCCCGCCCCCCCGGGAGGGAGGTACAGACACTTGGAAATAGTTTCTAAGAATGCTTCGCTTCCACTTCCCAGCTATAATGAAATGGCAAGCTTTGCGGGGTGGGGAGGTGGGGGCACGGAGTACTAAGCTTGATGCAGGGTCTGAGGCGAGAGGAGAACCTGAAGGGGGGGGCGTGCAGGTAGTGGCTGGTGCCCAGAAAGTCAAGGGTGGGGGGTGTCAGTCAGTCCGTCCGTCCCTCCTCCCCACTCCCCGCCCCCTACCCTGTCTTGCGTCTGTGTGCAGGTCTGCTGGTCACAGCGGGGCACCTCGAGGAGAGGACGGCTAGGAGCACACGACCCGGTAAGGTTCAGGTCAGGGAAGGGGTACGCAGTGGACCGGGACTGGGGCGCGAGGGTGGACGCCGAAAGGCAGGGAGTCTGCAGGCCGCACTGTCCCGCCCCTGTCACTGCGGGCGAGGCCTGTAGCAAAGCCTGCTGGGAAAATGGTGGGCTTTCGGGAAGGAGGGGGCGACCGGGAAGCGGTGGAGTCGGGAGAGCCGGAGAACCGCTGGGAAAGCGCAAGGTTGAGGACCTGGGCCCCGAATCAGGAAAAGGCAGGTATTGGAACCCACGACCAGGGTGTTGGTCCAGTCGCTTAGTATTCTGACTCTATTCTGCCTTTCTTGTCTCCTAAGAATAACTGTGCTTGAAGAAGAAAATTCCCAGCATGGACAAACCACGCCAAGAAAATGAAGAAGAGCCGCAGAGCGCGCCCAAGACCAATGAGGAGAGGCCTCCGGTGGAGCTCTCTCCCGAAAAGCAGTCTCCCGAGGAGCAGTCTTCGGAGGAGCAGTCCTCGGAGGAGGAGTTCTTTCCTGAGGAGCTCCTGCCTGAGCTCCTGCCTGAGATGCTCCTTTCGGAGGAGCGCCCTCCGCAGGAGCGTCTTTCCAGGAAGGACCTGTTTGAGGGGCGCCCTCCCATGGAGCAGCCTCCTTGTGGTGTAGGAAAACATAAGCTAGAAGAAGGAAGCTTTAAAGAAAGGTTGGCTCGTTCTCGCCCGCAATTTAGAGGGGACATACATGGCAGAAATTTAACCAATGAGGAGATGATACAGGCTGCAGATGAGCTAGAAGAGATGAAAAGAGTAAGGAACAAACTGATGATAATGCATTGGAAGGCAAAACGCAGCCGTCCTTATCCTATTTAATGTGTTCGGCCTTTGATTCTGTTTTGCCTGCTAATAGTATTGCCATTGCCACCTGGACTTTCTGTTTGCATTTTCTTCATGCCTTTTCCCCTATTCTGAATTTTAGCTTTTTGTGAGGCTTTTAGATGTTTAGTTTGTAACTGGCTTAAAGTTGGGGCTTCCCCCCTAAAATCTGCAAGTTTCCCCCTTTCAATCATGAGGTCTACACATTTGCATGAAAGATGTGCATTATATATTGTGAAATGAAAAAAGCAATTTTCAAATGGTATATATTGTACTCCATTTTTGTAAAAATGTATATTTATATATTAATATGCAAAGAAAAAACTCAAAGTGTATACTTCAAAGGCATAACAGTGGTTATCTGTGTGATAATAGGTGATTTTTAAAAATTTTTGCTTTATCTGAATTTCTCATTTTTTCAAGACCAACACGTTTTACTTGTGTTGCAAAAAACATAATGAAAAAATATCATGCAATTTTGAAGAAAACTGTCAATCCGCTTATAAAGACAATGTGGCACTTAATAAATACTTGTCAGAACTTAAAAAACATAAAAGTGAATCCTATGTTTTTTCTGAATCTCTTAGGCACAAATACAAACCACATATTGATTATATTTAATAGACTTTTTTTCTCATTTAAATAAGAATAATACCTGCTTTACAGTGCTACTGTGGGACCAGATGAGAAAAAGATTATGTGACCTGTGTTTGAGGTTTTTATTCCACCTGCACAGGCACACCCTGACCCCCCCTACAGATTCCCTGCAGACACAGGGGAAGGTACCCAAAGGAGATCTCACTTGTGCTCACAAACAATTCCGGTGAGATTCCAGGTGAGTGTCACATTCTATTCATGCCCTGCTGTACTCTCAGATACCTACCATATCTGCTAGGCACAGCTGCTCCTTCTCCTGGGTCCTGTTCCTTCCACTGGCTCCCATCCCTGCTGACATGCTGGAGTGCTCAAGGTGCAAAGCCTCACTGATTGCTGTGGAGTCCCTGGTGGTCCCAAGCTGAACTGTGTCTCCTACAGATATATCAATGCCCTTCTTCCAGCTTTAATATTGCACTTAGCTAGGAAGATACCATCCCAATGCTGCTTAGACCTCAAAGTCTTTTAAAACTGTTTAGTAAAATAGTTCTTCCATTTTTTTTTTCATCCAGAGCCTTCCTTTTCTCCATTGGACTCATGAGTCCACCTTTCTCCACTGGACTCAAACATGATTCCACTAGGTCCTGGGCTAGGAGACAAAATTAATGAGCCAGACACCATGCTGTATAGTCAGAATTGGAATGTCCCTCCCAAATATCCCAGGATAACTATCATTTTAATTACCTGACTTGCCTTTGGATGAGTTCTCTCTCAGGGTCTTCTGGCAAGCTTGCCTTGCCAATTCAGCTGACTTGCTCAACTTGTGTAAATTAAAGAGGAAGATAATGCTTCCTCAAACTAGGACATTCAAAACAACTTGACTGGGCTCAAACTAGGACATTCCCCTTCTACACTGCTCCATATAAGCAGGACACATGCAAAACTACTTTCTATGACATTAAAGTACTATATATGTATATGTACGTAAACATGTATATATCAGATATAATTATGATTTCTCTATTAAACTATGTTTATAAAACCTAAGATTTTGTTTTATTGATCCTATTAGTTCTAGAAATACAGAGTGGTTAATAATGATTAAGAATTATTACCCAGGGTCGGGCACAGTGGCTCACGCCTGTAATCCCAGAACTTTGGGGGGCCGAGGTGGGCGGACCACAACGTCAGGAGATTTAGACCATCCTGGCTAACACGGTGAAACCCCATCTCTACTAAAAATACGAAAAAATTAGTTCTGCATGGTAGCACGTGCCTTTAGTCTCAGTTACTCGGGAGTCTAAGGCAGGAGAATCACTTGAACCCAGGAGGCGGAGGTTGCAGAAAGCCAAGATCGATAGTGCCATGCACTCCATCCTGGCGGCAGAGTAAGAGTCTATCTCAAAAAAAAAAAAAAAATTATCACCCAGTCATGAACTCTGAGATTCTCTTTGATTGACTATATAACCTTTACTTTGCTGACTTCTCTAGAGCGATGATTTGCAATTCCAAAAGGAACATGGTGAAGGAGGGATTGTTAACCAAAATTTAACATTAAAATTATTTAAATATTTTATATATCAGTGTTTCTGTTATTAAAACAAACACAAACAAAAAACCAGAAACCTGTTTTCTCTGGCGGACCCAGTAAATCTGTTTTTTTTTATAAATTAGCACACTAAAAGTTGGACAGCATATACAGTGTACCTCTGATTTTATTGAGAATATGATGTAAATGGAAGAAAATATAGATAATTGTGTCAGAATTAAAAAGGTGAAACCCTTGTCCAAGCATACTTTTAAATAAGCAACTAGAGACAGTCTTAATAATTTTATAACATAAAATTTAGATTTCTTACAGCAAAGCAAGACCTTACACAAAATTAAAACGTGAGAGACAATTTAATAGAAATGTATTTTCCATGACTGATGTTATATAATGTCTTACATTCCATACTTTCAATATGAGTAAAATGTATCAGAAATAAATTCAAAGTTCTCCTTTAGTAATAATCTAAAAAAAAAAAATGGTTAAGCCACACCTGTACCCTTGGCTTTCTTTTGTTTTTATATTTTTACCATATAATGCAATTTGAGGGAGTTCTTCATGTCTCCAGACCACTCTTCAAGCCAATGGCAGTCTGATGGGTGCTGGTCAAACTGGAATTCTCACTGGAGTGAGAGCAGGTTCCAGGCTCACTGGAACTAGTTTTATAAGAGAGGATAAATCCATCCCCCTAACCCTCAGAGTGGTGGTGCTTAGGCAGGATGTGGAAGGGCTCACTCAGGCCGCATTCCCCTCTGGGGTGGGTCTGACTTTGCTTTCTCTGTTCCAGCCTGCAGCGGGCACAGGGCCCTCTTAGGCTAATGGCCAAGCTGCCCTGGACAGACATACCTGGAGGAGGATGACTGACTGCCCTATTGTAGGACAGAGCACTTTGCCTTTCCCTCCTCTTCCCTTTCTCTTTTGGGGAATATTTTGTGGGGGAGGAGATAAAGCCCCAAAGTGTCCTGGCAGGAAACATCCATTAGGATAGTCTTTGAGCAAACAGATGTCTGAGCAAATCTGACCAGGTCACTTGGGGCTGAAGTAGAAGGGGCTGACCCTTCTCTCAGAGTCCAGGGAAGTAGCCCCAAAGACGACTGGGGCAAAAATGGGGTTAGACAGCACATAAAACCTCACCCATCCCTCTCCCACCCACCTTGCTCAGACTCCCAGAGGGGCCTCGTTGTGCCCTGGCCTGTTTGGTTGGTTCTGCAAGGACTTTAGCTCTGTGTCTGCCTGGTGCAGTACATCTGATGTCTGAGTTACCCCAGGCCCTGAAGTACAGGAGACCCTAGGTAAAGGGAACTTGCAAAGACATGTGGTCTTACAACTCAGGAGAAAATGGGTGTCATCTCCTATCTGAAAACCCCTATACGTTGCAAAGCCAGCTCACGACTTGGGAGCCAGGACAGTCAAGCTGTGAATTGATGAGAAGATGCTTTTTAAGGCATTGGTGGTGGAGGGCCAGCAGCATCCACAGCCCCTGGGCCCCTGCTATAATTTGAATGTGTTTCCCACAATTCATGTGCTGGAAACTTAAACCCAGTGCAACAGAGCATGTGGGATATGGGGCTTAATGGAAGTTTTTTAGGTCATGAGGACTGTACCCTCACAAATGGATTAATGCTATGATAAAAGGGGCCTGCAGGGGTGGATTTTCTCCCATTCTTCTGCCACATGAAAATACAGAGTTCCTCTTTCTTGCCCTCTTCCTTCTAGCATGTAAGAATGCAATAGGAAGGCCCATCCCAGATGCCACTGCCTTGATCTTGGACTTCCCAGCCTCCAAAAGTGTAAGATAATAAGTTTCTATTCTTTATCAATTATCCTAGAGCTTGGCATGGTGGCTCATGCCTGTAATCCCAACACTTTAGGAGGCCGAGGCAGGAGGACTGCTTGAGCCCAGGAGTTCAATACCAGACTTGGCAACATAGTGAGATGCCATCTCTACAAAAAATAGAAAAAAATTAGCTGGGCATGGTGGTGTGTGCCTGTAGTCCCAATCACTTGGGAGGCTAACATGGGAGGATTTCTTGAGCCCAGGAGGTTGAGGCTGCAGTCAGCCATGATGGTGCCACTGCACTCTAGCCTGAGCAATAGAGTGAGACCCTGTCTCAAAAAAAAAAAAAAAAAAAAAAAAAATCCAGTCTCAGGTATTCTGTTATAGCAGAAAATGGACTAAGACAGCCTCTCACCATCTTCCTCCCCACACAGAAGGCTGGTATCTCTATCACATATCCAAGTAGCAACTTGCCTGGCCAGTTTCAGAGGAGAAATCATTGAGCATCCAGGACCATGGAGACTGAGCTCTCTGCTAACAAGGGTTCCCCTGCTCTTAGGAAACGATGCATATGACTGGGAACTCCCAGGAGTAGTGAGGCAGCATAGAAGGGATCAGGCTCAGGGTCCCTACAAAAGGACTAGAGATAATTCCTTCCCCCATTGGGAAATACTAATCTAAATAAATAATTATTTTTACAAATGAGAGATAAGATTTTACAGATAAATAAGAGGCAGATCCTGTGTTCTAACTCAGATTTGTTTGCATCAAATTCTGTGTTCTTCCCACTCTACCACACTGCCACTAACTTAGACAGTAGCTTTTCAGGGATTAGGGAATCATTTATTTAGACTTGCTGAGTATGGTATTCTTGTTGGTTTGTGAATTTGGGTGAGTTTTCGCATTTTTATCTCATTCCAGGTAGAAATGTCTAGTAGGCAGTTAGATATATGTCTGAAGTTTGGAAAAGAGATTAGAATGGAAATATCAATTTTGGCTTATGATACCAGGAACATAGCAAGTGGTCCAGGAATATTTGTTGAATTAAATGAATGAATGAAGAATGCAATTGTACACTCTTCTACCCTTTTCTATGAATATGTATTTTTCAAACAGAAGTGGAATTCTGTTGAACGCACTGGTTCATATCCTGCATGTAAAAAATAAACTTTTTCTTTAAATTTTCTCTTTACCAAGACAATACCTGTTTCAGAAGAATGTTTACAAATACAGATAAGTGCCACCTGGTGACCAGAGTCAGAATTGTGGGTCGAACATAGCAGGGAGGAGAGAGACTATGAGAGGAGAGCTGGTAGAGAGACTTGCTATCTGGGAAGGGAATGTCTCAACCCTGACTCACATTGGACCCACACAAGTATCAGGTCTTCTTGGGGACTGAGGTGGCCCAAGAGGCAACATGTAGTTATGTGGCTTTTCCTTGTCTCAAGTCAAGATAAGCATGTGCATGCATGTGTGTGTATGTATGTGTGTTTAAACTGAGTTGTCTTATATTATTTTCACTTTTTCTCTGATCATAGAAGTTATATGTGTCAACTAGAAAACATATGGAAATACAGAAAAGTATAAGAAGAAGGTGCCTATATGTCCTCTACCCAGAGAAAATAATTATTACTAT